TTCACCATAACGAACCACTGAGTTGGTATTGAGAGTCGAAAAGCAACGAGGAGGAGTTACCGCCACACACCAGCCAGCCACTCGCTGCCACTCTCTCAACAACGCCTCACTTGCCCACTTTTTCCTCCCACCATCCTGTTTTATGTTTTATTCAAAATATACAGACGTTACATATAAGAATCAACAGGTCTTGTTCACAACAACTGTACAACTAAGCTGATATAGTTAGTTCAGGCACGAAGAGTCATCGCTACACACACAGTCAGCTGGTGGCTCCCTCACTCATTCAAGGTCACATGCACTAAACTTTCTCCCCCAACAATACCATTTGTGGTGTTATTACACTATATACAGACGTTATATATAAGTACTGTATGTATATATTTTGTTCACCACAATTGTACAGCTAAGCTGATATAGTTAGTTCAGGCACTAAGAGTTGTCACTATACACACAGTCAACTGGCGGCTCCCTCACTCATTCAAGGTCACACGCACTAAACTTTCTCCCCCAACAATACTGTTTGCAGTGTTATTACCCTATATACACATATGTATAAGTATCTACATGTTGTATGCACCATAACTGTACACCTAAGCTTGTAGAGTGCCCAAAGAGCATAGTGGCCACCCTCTAAACAGCTAGATAAATCATGCAGATGACGTCACCTCCGTCACCCATATGGCTCCTCCCAGCATAATACTTTTGCTGTTATTACACTAATACACACATTATATATAAGTATCTACATTTGTGTTCACCATAGAGAACCACTGAGCTAGTATGGTGAATGCAGACAATAACATACACCACACATTTAGTATTGTGTGATATTATTATTGTGCATGTTATTGCCTGTCCTATTGACAGTGCCATTGTAATTTATTGCGCATCATCATTACCCGAGTATCCAGTTGGAACTCTTGTGATCCCTTTGCACACCGGCTGTTAGGTTTGCCATGTTAATGATTGGCTGTCAATTGTGTTAAGTTAGGTGGTTCTCCACGAGTGGATCCAAATCGATTAACCAGACGTTAAGAGTCTCGCTAATGCAACCATAGCCTTTCTGACGTCAATCTAAAGTAAATCAAGCACCCTTTGTATTACTGTAGTGGTTAAGTTAGTAAATAAACTACTGTTAAGCTTTACGCGGTGTGTCCGTTGAACCACTTCTGAATACTGCCAACTATTTACTCCAGCCTTCAGCTCCAGGTGTCTTCAACACCGAGTTGCCTATTATTCACTAAACTATAAATGTGATGAGGACCCTAGGAGTCCTTAAAGTGTTAAATCATTGAGGAGATTCCAACGATCAATGTGGAGCAGGACCAGGTGAGGCTAGTCTGAGAAGAAACCCTCAAGGACTCTAACTCGACTTTGCTCCCAGGCCCTGTACGGTTGCTCTCGTATTTTCTCTGCTGATTCCGACAGTTTCGTGAAGCATCTGCCACATGCACATTGGCGACGTACGCATTGCAGTCAGGAAAGCAAAATAGAAAACCCCACAGTTGGGCACTGTCCTTCCTTAGAGCTCACAGCACGATGCGAGTGTTTGCGGTTGTGTGGCATATCCTGCTTCCTCGGGGCTCGGTGATCCGGCCCCATGCGGACTGCTCCCTGTGGTTCATTGTCTCAACTGGTTGGTCTCTTCGGTCTGTGGCTTTGGGGCTGGTCGCTTCAGGAAGCTCTTCTGCTGAGTTCTCGAGGTTTAGCTCTCTGTGCCGTTCACATTCCTGGTGTGTCCATCGTCCTGGTAGACGTCCTCTTTCCACACTTCATTCCCCCTTTCCATGGAGTGGGCGGTTGACTCCTTGTCTTCAACCTTGGCTTCAGGCACTGCTTGCTTGGTGTACAAACCCGGGCGGTCTGATTTTTCTGATGCGTGTGTATCACCATTTGTATGGTGATCAGGTAACTTCTTTGATGGTGTCCCGCTTGTGGTCTTCTCAGCGACAGTCAAGTTTCTTGATTGTCTTTCTGTCTTTTTTTCTGTTCATTAGTTTTCGTCGTTTTGGGACCAGGTTGTTTTGTTCTTTCTCTCTTGGCTTTTTATGAATCGGCATTTCTTGCCTATTACTGTCGCTTCGTATTGTGCAGCATTGGTGGAACCACTGCTGCTTGCATGAGACATGAATGTTACTTCCGTTAGCTTTCTAGTGCGTTTTCTCGCCTCCGGCCTGCTCATGCGCTGCTTGAGCCTTCTTGGTGTTTGGACTGCATTCTTTTCTTTCTTCTCGCGTTGTTTTGGCCCCTTCAGTTCGGGATTGCTTTTTTAGAAGGCCTTGTTTTTGTTGTCCTTCACCTCTGGGGGTTGGGTTAGGGAGCTTCATACTCTCCTTTGACTCTAGCGGGGTTTTGTTTGTTTGGGCCTGGTGGATGTTTTGTTCGTTTGCTGCCTTCTTCTTTTCTGGCATAGAATGCTGGCTTCCTGAGGGTTATCTTGAGGTTATCTTGAGATGATTTCGGGACTTTTTAGTGTCCCCGCGGCCCAGTCCTCGACCAGGCCTCCACCCCCAGGAAGCAGCCCGTGACAGCTGACTAACACCCAGGTACCTATTTTACTGTTAGGTAACAGGGGCATAGGGTGAAAGAAACTCTGCCCATTGTTTCTCGCCGGCGCCTGGGATCGAACCCAGGACCACAGGATCACAAGTCCAGCGTGCTGTCCGCTCGGCCGACCAGCTCCCGTTGGGGTCCGTTGGTTGTGGATGCTTTGTTGGTTAGGCTGGGGTGTGTCACGTGTTCTATGGTGGTGGCTTTGCGCTGCTTCCTGCAGGCCACTGGTTCTGTGCCGGTGGACACTATCTGGGTGGATCCGGTTTCCTTGGTTCCCTATTCCAGGGCTCGTGTGTCTCAGGTTTTCCATAGTGTCATGAAGTCTAGCCAGCCTGTGGTCTATCCTCGTGCCCATGATGATAGGATGTATGCTGCTCTCGCAGCATTTTCTAGCAACATGTCTTAGGTCAACATTCGACATTCAGACGGGGGTTGGGAGGGGGTGGGGAGGGGTTGGAGGTCAGAGTTCTGACCATCAGGCATATCTTAAACATTCCGGTTCCCTCCTGGCCGTGTGTGACTTTGGGGCACCTGTCACGGCCGTCTGTCTCTCCCCCATCTTTTGACCAGCAGTCCTGCCGCCTCCCGGGTATCTTGAGATGATTTCAGGGCTTAGCGTCCCTGCGGCCCGGTTGCGATTTTTTTGTTACACATCCCCAGGATGTGTAACAAAAAACCAGCCCATAGCAGCTGTCTTAACACTATCGCCCGTTCCACGCGCGCACCGCAGACTTTGACGTCATGGGGCTAATGGTGCAGGCAAATGTGTGGCGACGCCTAAATGTGTATACTCATTTCAGTTTTCTCACCTTAATTCTTGTGCTACGTCGTTCGTTTTGGTATCATTGTATTCGCAATTAAATTCCCTGCAGATGTATATACATATAATGTCCAAAAGCCTGGCGAGACTCCCCACAGCAAAGCCTAAAGTTACCCGTGAACGAGCACCAATTTGCACACCACAACCTAATGTGTATACTCGTTCAGTTTGATAACATCAATTTTCATCTTACATCGCTCATTTTGGTATCAAATTGTTCGCAATATAAACGTGCACATTTTAAAACTAGTCCCATAATAATAGCACAATAAATAGAATTTTAACAAATATTTTAAAATTTAAAATTTAGACCCAAAAACGTATTTATAATCTTTCAAGTGTTCTGACGTCAAGTTTCGTGTTACATCTTTCATTTTGGTATCAAATTGTGCGCATTCTAAAGGCGCTTATTTTTAGCGCCATGGGAGTCTTAACTCCCAGGTACCTATTTACTGCTAGGTGTACAGGGGCATCAGGGTGAAAGAAACTCTGCCCATTTTTGTTTCCGCCTCCACTGGGGATTGGACCCGGAACCTCGGTACTATGAATCCGAAGCACTGTCCGCTCAGCTGTCAGTCTCCTTAAGTAAGTAAATCCCTCCTTTTACTTATTTTTGGGCAGTTTCCTTCAGGGAGCCGGCAGAAAACCAGCATTGAATGTAATGAAGCGCCATTTTCTGGGTAAGCCCCAGAGGCCCCCGACATCCTCCCTCCTTATGGGGTATTCATGCCCGTGCCACCTCTTGGATGGCTTAATCTTCATCAATCATCTCCCTCCCTCCGGACGGTGGTTTTCATCGTTCAAGAAACGGAGTGGTGGGCTGCCTGATTCTGAGAGCCGGCTTCCCCCTCCCCATGTTATAGAGCAGGAGTGCTAGTTGCATGAAGTGTTGCTTGTTGGTTTTCTTTCTAGGGGGAGTTATATTGATCTTTTAGGGTGTAGATTGCACAGGTTAACCAGACAGTGGTCTGTTATTTGCCTACCTTTCTGGGTCCTTCCCTGGTTGATGGCAATTATAACATACTCTATATGTAAAGTGCTCACTGGCTATTGCTCTCTGTGCCTCTCTGAGGGTCCCCAGTAGGCATAAGGACTCCTGTGTCTGATGACCCCTAACTAATATAGCATATATTAGTTCAGATAGCTTCAGGGAGCCTACCTACCTTGAGGCTACCTTGAGGTGCTTCCGGGGCTTAGTGTCCCCGCGGCCCGGTCGTTGCCTCCGGGACTCGCCTAGAAAATGGTGTTTCATTACATTCAACGCTGGTTTTTTAATGGGCCTAGGTAAACTTCATTATATTTGCATAGTTATATTATATGCATATTTGCATCATACATGTAAAACCAGACGATAACTGTTTAAATCATCATATGACGGTAACCTCATTACCACATAAATCAATATATGGCAGTAACCGCTCTCTTTGGGTTAATAGGTGGAATTATTCTCTTATACGTTTAAATATAAATGGTAAGTGGAACAATGTTTACATTAAGTACACATTTGTAAATTTTTATTAAGTTATGATATTGATGTAGCTTTTGACCTGAGTTTGAGACTGAAAGAAATTAAAAACATTATGAAGACCCAAAAAGTAATTATAATTTTTGCCTTTATGAACAGCTGGAGATGGTGGCATTAGAGAATCCTGGTGATCTCAAAAAGCAGATGGTGGTAGAATTTGAGGGGGAGCAAGGAATTGATGAAGGTGGTGTCAGTAAGGAGTTCTTCCAGCTCATTGTGGAGCAGATATTCAACCCCGACTATGGTAGGTGGAAAATTAAACCAAAATATATCATTGTAATATGAATTAATTAAAGTTTCTGAGAATGAGCTTAAGTGTTGGTATAGCAAAGCCTTCAGAATCACAACAGGTTTCCAAGACCCACACTGACCTTCCAGGAGCCAAGACGAGAATTTGCTTCTACAAGGTGAGGAGGAGCTTGGAGATCAGAGATTTACCCAAAACTGTCAAAAACCCATCAGATATGTTAAGCTTAACAAAAGTGACTGTTTGAAAGTGAAAAATTTGCCCTGGGCAAATGAAACAACTGATTGGGGTCATTGCTTTCTTTTTCCTTGTGATTGTTTCATGCCGCCCACTCTTGTATGTTCCTTGGCTTTCATTTTGTTCTGGCTGTGGGTAGGGTTGTCTTTTGTGGTTGCTGGTTTGTCTTACCCCCTGCTCCTCCATAGGTATCTTATAAAGCGTTCTGGTTCCTCCACTATTAGTCGGCTCTTCTCAAGTTGCCTTGCTTCCATTTAATGAATGGGACTTGTTTTCCTTGTTGCATGACCTGTTGTTAGCTGTGTGCTAGTGTGCATGCCGTGCTTGGCTCTAATTTGTATGTGTTTTAGTCATGTACCTTTGTAGGGTGTGCGGTACTTACCTATGATGACCAAACCACACACCAGAAGATGAAGGAAGGATAACATTTCTGTCCGTCCTGGATCATTATCAAGTCGTATGTGATACGACTTAATAATGGTCAAGGACAGACTAAAATGTCATCGTTTCTTCATCTTCTGGTGTGTGGTTTGGTCATTATATGTTCAGCCATGTTTTTGTGACTCGGTGCCTAATTGAGTTGTGCTTGTAGGGGGTTGAGCTTGAACTCTTTGGTCCCACCTCTCATCTGTCAATCAACTGGTGTACAGGTTCCTGAGCCTATTGGGCTCTATCACCTGGCATCTGGCCACCACTACACACCACACACACTGCTGGTATTCCATTATAACACAGGGCAAAACCCAAAACAGGAATTTGAGGCCAGAGGTGACCGATGTGACTACCAGCACATCTGTTCAAAAACTGAAGTGGTGGGCGGCTGGCTCCAGAGCACTATCGTGTGGGAGTCCTAGTTGCATGAAGTGTTGTTTGTTCGGTTTCATTCTAGGGGGAGTTTTTTTTTATCTTTTAGGATGTAGATTGCAGTTAACCAAACAGTGATCTGTTTTGATTCACATAATCTTTCTGGGTCCTTCCCCGGTCAATGTTAATTATGACATGACATACTTTATATGTAAAGTGCTCAAGGCCATTGCTCCCTGTGCCTCTCTGAGGGACCCAGGTTCTGGCTCGTGGTTCCCGGTAGGCATAATAACTTGACTGATGATCCCAAATAAATATACAGTGGGGGCCTCGATTTACGATGGTAATCTGTTCCCAGAGACGTATCGTAAGTCGATATATCGTAAGTTGAAACGATTTTTCCCATAAGAAATAAAGGGAAATTAATTAATCCATTCCTGACTCCCCAAAAAATTAAGTTCAAAGTAAATTTGATGCCCAATTTACCCAAATCTTCACTACAAAAGTATGTACAAGTTATTACAGTACTTTACTGATGACTCCTGTTGGCGTATGGAAGATGGTGAGGAGGGGGGGAAGGAGGAGAGGTGTTACTGTTTGGAAGGGGAGTCCCCTTCCATTATAACATCAGGCAGTGAGGACTTCTCTGGGGTACACTCCTATGTTTTGCCTGCATACCACTAGGACCTGGCTGTGGTTCACTGCTTGTTTGTCTCACTAAAAAATTTGTCTAACGACACTTGTTTTTCCCTTCGTTTTAACATTTGTCTGTAGTGATGCATCAAAGTGTCATTGAAAAGGTTAAGGCAACGGACTACTACAGCTTGATTTGGGCGAGTCGTTTTGGCAAAAGTTTATAGTTCTTCCCATGCTGCACACATTTTCTTAGTTTTTGAGGAAGGGATATTCTGTACTGCCTCTATGGTCATCTTCATATGTGTTTTCATATGTTGAACCATACCGCTGACTTTCTTGGGACCCATGGCGTGATATATAATAGTTTCATGTCCAGAAAGCAAAAATTCACCAAACAAATAGAATTTCTTATAAGCATGATCGTCACTAAGCGGGCGGCTCTAGTAAACTGAGGCAGGTCAGCCCACGCTGCCGGGAACTATGCGCTTGGTCGACTCAAACATGTATCGACAAATATCGTTTTATGGTTACGACACTATCGTAAGTCGAGTCGCATTTTCCGATCAAATTTATATCGTAACTCGAAATTATCGTAAGTCGGGGTAATGGTAAGTCGAGGTGCCACTGTAGTACATATCAGTTCGGATAACTTTAGGGAGTCCATGGGGCTCCACATGGAAACACTGTTGTATTGTTCTAAGACTATGATGATTGTCACTAATATACGCATCATATTTTGAGTATGGCGATGTTCCATCCATTTGATTATACAAGTTTATCAATTTACTTTATATTGACTAATAATGCTGCAAAAACAACAACAACAGAAAACAGACATTGAAATAAATAGGTAAAAGTATCTTTGTGGCACCTGCCATCCCATGGTGGGGCTGGGGTCAGACCATGGCAAGCAACTGCACTGTTAACACCTGCTCATTGCCAGACTTCCTCGCTCTATCACGATCAAAGTATATGACGTACATTTTTCTGGGGGAGCCCTATCGGCTCCTCGGAGCTATCTGGGCTGATACGACTGTATTATACCCTGGCATCAGTCAAGCGATTCAACCTGGCCCCCCTCAAGAGAGGCATGAGCAGCTATGGCCTGTAGAAACTCCCGTGTGGTTGAAAGCATTCTATGTCTGCCATCGATCAGGTCAGGCACCCAGAAAGGTAGGCGCACCAAAACAAACCCTATCTGGTTACAAAATTGCTACTGAAAGCCGAACTGTTGGATAGAACTCCCCAAACGAGCAAACGAGCAAACGAGCATAATGTCATAACCATCACCACCCAGCTGTCTGTGCAGTAAGCATTTGGGAACCTACTAGAAAAGGATGCTTCATTACATTCATGTCATATTATTATAACTAATTATATTTTCAGAGTTGTTGAATTTGGGTATTTACTCCAATAAGATCCTATTATGTCTCCAAGATATTAGATCATACAAAGTAAAATGTAAAGAAAGGCCCATATCTGTTGGGCATCTTTGTAGTTCCCTTTTCCTGGCCTGTTTTCATCATCCTTGTGAAGGTTTTGGAGGGTGACGAATGAGGCGGTCGTGTTGCGGGGATGAATGAGGCGGTCGTGTTGCGGGGACGAATGAGGCGGTCGTGTTGTGGGCACGAATGAGGCGGTCGTGTTGCGGGGACGAATGAGGCGGTCGTGTTGTGGGGACGAATGAGGTGGTCGTGTTGCGGGGACGAATGAGGTGGTCGTGTTGCGGGGACGAATGAGGTGGTCGTGTTGCGGGGACGAATGAGGTGGTCGTGTTGCGGGGATGAATGAGGTGGTCGTGTTGCGGGGACGAATGAGGTGGTCGTGTTGCGGGGATGAATGAGGCGGTCGTGTTGCGGGGATGAATGAGGCGGGTGTTGCGGGGATGAATGAGGCGGTCGTGTTGCGGGGATGAATGAGGCGGTCGTGTTGCGGGGATGAATGAGGCGGTCGTGTTGAGGGGATGAATGAGGCGGTCGTGTTGTGGGGATGAATGAGGTGGTCGTGTTGCGGGGACGAATGAGGTGGTCGTGTTGCGGGGATGAATGAGGCGGTCGTGTTGCGGGGATGAATGAGGCGGGTGTTGCGGGGATGAATGAGGCGGTCGTGTTGCGGGGATGAATGAGGCGGTCGTGTTGCGGGGATGAATGAGGCGGTCGTGTTGAGGGGATGAATGAGGCGGTCGTGTTGTGGGGATGAATGAGGCGGTCGTGTTGCGGGGATGAATGAGGCGGTCGTGTTGCGGGGATGAATGAGGCGGTCGTGTTGCGGGGATGAATGAGGCGGTCGTGTTGCGGGGATGAATGAGGCGGTCGTGTTGTGGGGATGAATGAGGTGGTCGTGTTGCGGGGACGAATGAGGTGGTCGTGTTGCGGGGATGAATGAGGCGGTCGTGTTGCGGGGATGAATGAGGCGGGTGTTGCGGGGATGAATGAGGCGGTCGTGTTGCGGGGATGAATGAGGCGGTCGTGTTGCGGGGATGAATGAGGCGGTCGTGTTGAGGGGATGAATGAGGCGGTCGTGTTGTGGGGATGAATGAGGCGGTCGTGTTGCGGGGATGAATGAGGTGGTCGTGTTGCGGGGATGAATGAGGCGGTCGTGTTGCGGGGATGAATGAGGCGGTCAGGTTGCGTGTGACGTGGCCTTTATCTAGTGACAGTTGGGTGCATCACGGTTAAGATAGGTAAACTGTACCAATGATCATTTGCCGAGTTTATCTCAAGGTTGCTAATATTTCTTCAACCAGTTAGTTGTTTTGGTGTGCTAATCACTAAAAATCACTAAGCACTAAAATGTGCATTTTACCTTGTTTTCAGTGGAATGTCTGACCCTGAGGCACCCATCATCTTGAAGAGAGAGCCAGATTCTGGTTTTGGCTATCCATAATAGGTTGGTTAGGGTGGTCTCAAAGGCTTTGTGTGATTTCCTAAGCTTTAGCAATACCTGCACCTAAGCTTGAGAAGCTACTGAAGGCTTATAAAAACAATAAGTTGTTCTCAATAAGTTAGGTAAAATAACCTATGTTGTCAAATTTCATTGGTAGTCTGATTTGATTTGTAACTTCTTTGTATAAAAAGCATTGCTTATTTTGCAATTTTGCCCTTCACTTATTCACATGTCCCATGAATTTGTCGCTCACATGCCAGTGCAAGATTAAATGGCAAGAAGGGAGTGTATCAGGTGTGGTTTGATCCATAAAATACAAACTCTTGCATATTCAGTACTCACAAGTGCCAATTATTTTGCAAATTCTTCAAGACTTAAGAGTGGGGTATGGGAAGGGTGAGGTCTGGCTAGCTAGAACTGGGATGCTTTGCTCCTCGATCACCTCTGTGTTGCTAATTCATATGTCATCAATTACAGTAAAAAAATGTATAATAAAGAAAGCTTTAATATGTTCTTTTAATGTTGCAGCCATGTTTTGTCTCAATAACGAAACTCAGACCTTCTGGTTCAACCCAAACTGCTTTGAGAGCGACGCACAGTTCACTCTTGTCGGTATTGTGCTTGGACTTGCCATTTACAACAATGTGATTCTTGACGTCCACTTCCCACCAGTAATGTACAAGAAGCTCTGCAGTAAGCCCGGCTCATTTCATGATCTTCAAGACTGGAATCCTGTAAGATTTTTTGTGATTGTTTTTATATGCTTTATTTTTTATTAACCTCAATTATAGTTACCTTGCCAGTGTCATGAGGTCACAGAATTGTGCAAGAGAGTGCTCCCAGTGGCTCTCTTAAGCTATTGTGCTGAGATTATTCGGGCCTTAAGCTATCTTGCTGAGATTACACAGACCTTAAGCTGTCTTGCTGAGATTGTTTAATGCTAAAATATACATCAGTTGAGGAAGTTTTGTGTGGCCTACTGGAGACATCCCCTCATAGAGGCGCAGGGAGCAGGTGACAATCTGCTACCCCCACCGGAAAAAGCCTCCAGAAGGCTATTGAAGCTTTACAGACAACTGAAGGATTCACATAAAGCCTTGAAGCAATCAAACAACTCTGCAAACAATTTGTACAGAACAAGGGATTCACTCAAGCGTCCTTGAAACTTGTTAGTTCCAATTACCACCACCAGGCGGTCTGGCCCCCAGCCCTCAGCCAAGTTCCCATCTCGGTTCTGTTGCTGACGAAGGAGTGCGAAGAGTGGCTGATAGCGTTCCAGTCCATTACATGTACTGTAGTTGTGAGCAGGGCCCCACTGCCTCAATTTAAGTGTCAGCCATCCATGGACTCTGTTGTCCTGTGGGGGCCACTTGCTTTGTGTATTGTTTCTGTATTTTGGTATTGGTTTCACGTATGTGTTTATGATTCGGTTTGTTTTGAGGGCTTGGCTTTACTTGCAGTTCAGGGCGAAAGTGCTCAGAGTTTTCATCCCAGAGTGCTCGCTAATGTTGACCTTGCATGGTGTTACATTTTCTGGTATTTCAGGAGTTCACCCCTGAGCAATCTGGCCAACGAGGTGGAGAGCCTTGCCTTGGGCTAATTACAGATCTTGGATTCCTCTATTTGGTCCTTTGGCTGCAGCACCTCTGGGTGCATGTTCTTTATATGGCATTCCTCAGTCGCTACTCGTTGCCCTATTGTTTTGCCTGTACTGGTCATAGTGTCTGAGGTTTCTGCTTGGTTAGCCACCTTCAGGCCCTGGTAATCCTCTGTGGGGTCTCTCGCAAGGGGTCTGATACAGATTGGCCAATCAGGCCTACTCTCACTGAGTTTGATGGGTGCTTGTTGTCTTAGCTACCAGATGATGATGATCATTCTTTCTGCCCCCCCCCCCCCCCACCATAATGCCTGCTGGGTCAGTGACACCTGCAAACCTGAGTCCTGTAAGGTGTGTTGTCACTGGATCTCTGCGCTTAAAGATTCCTAGTTGGAAGCTTTATAGGTGGCTGTCACTTTGTGAGCTACTAGGTTTGTTTGAACTAAGTGCTAGCAACCTATTGATCAGTTGGATGCCCTGGAGATGGCCCCTGTGGTGTTTCACCCCTCTTCTTCCTTCTCCTGCAGGTGTGGTTCATCCTATTTCTGATCAACAGACCTCCCCCCTTCCCATGGTTCCATCTCTGAAGTGTGAGGATTTCAAAGTTAAGTCAGACAGTCTACCTTGGTGTATAGCTCTGCCTTCTCTGAAGGTGTTTTCCATCCACACTGACGGCAAAGGCAATTACGCTTTCTGGTGCCACTGGGTTTTGGGGCATTCGTCTTCACCACCCCCCCCCCTTCCACTCTGAGCCTTCTCCTTGTGAGGACACCTTTGCATCTCAGGTGTTTGGGGAGGACTTCAACTGTGCCCTGAAGCCTTCATGGCAGGCTTCCGGGTTTGAGGGGGAGCCTGAGGAGTGCCCGTGGATACTTTTGAATCCTTTGTGAACTGTAGTGCCTCATGCTGAGGGTCTTCTGCTACAGGGAGATAAGTTTTTTGTATTCTCCCACTGTATATGAGTTGGATTGTTTGGCTACTTTTTCCTTGGGTTTGATTCTGGGTCCCATTTGCTACCTCGGAGTCATCGTACTAGTATTTCCGGTGGTTGCCGTCCTCCCGCACTGCCGGGAAGACGGAAACGGCTCCCCGAGCCCAGCCTGGAAGTGCTGGGCTAGAAGAACTGGAAGTAGAAGAACTCCTGAAACCCATTCCAGGTATGCTCCAGGTATACTAGGTCATCAGTGGTCTGTGTAGATTTGCTTCAGTTCTTCCTGTGGAACACAGCCCCCTTTTTTTTGGGTGGGGGGAAGGTTGGTGGACCTGGTTTCCTTAGAGTACAGGCATGTGTACTCGAAGGAGGCATTTTGTTTGGCTTGCCTCGCATGTTAACAGACCTGTTGGCCCATTCTATAGATTCTGCTTGGACTCTTACCCTATTGGCTCCCTTTTCCCCTTTTCACTTCTCCTTCCTGGAAGGGGGGGAAATCCAGAACCCCATGTGACTGAAGCCATCATATTCTGATAGGGTATATGATGCTACTAGGTCCTTAGGTTTCCAGGGCCTCTAAGCCCTGGAAATCAAGGGGTTAGAAGGATCACCCCACCCTTCTCCCCTGCTCCCAAGAATTACTGCAGCCCAGAAAGGACTTACTGAACCATGCAGGATGGGAGGCACTAGTTCAACATCAAAACAAAGATGTCCATCTGGGGAATCTTCTTGAGGTTATCTTGAGATGATTTCGGGGCTTTAGTGTCCCCGCGGCCCGGTCCTCGACCAGGCCTCCACCCCCAGGAAGCAGCCCGTGACAGCTGACTAACACCCAGGTACCTATTTTACTGCTAGGTAACAGGGGCATAGGGTGAAAGAAACTCTGCCCATTGTTTCTCGCCGGCGCCTGGGATCGAACCCAGGACCACAGGATCACAAGTCCAGCGTGCTGTCCGCTCGGCCGACCGACCGGAAGACCGAAAGTCTTGCAGACCATTTTGAATGATGTATCATTCAGTCACTCTGTGGAGATAGGACAACCAATATAATCCATCTGTGAGAATGTTGGACACACCCACAATGCACAGAGAACCAAACCCTGGGAATCCAGGAACCAAGGTACTTGAAGTGTGCAGCTCCACAGGGCAAATGACTGAAGTGACCCCTCAATTTAGGCAATGAACCACCAGAAAACAGTCGGGGTGGAGGTGGAGCATGGAAGCCGGAAGAAGCTGAAGGCTCCTCAGGGCATATCACACAGCCCCAAACTCGTGCACCATACTATGTGCCCAAAGGAATTGACTCGACTCATGACCCTGAGTGCTGGTCATGAAGCCCCAACCCAGTGGCGAGGCTTCCTTGAATACACTGAGCGATGTAGGAGAACAACCCGTTCTTGCATTTGCTTATAGTCAATATTGGCTTATCAATAAGTGCATATGTGACATACTAATTTATTGTGAATATTTTAGTTTACCTTGAAAAGCTAAATAGAAAACACCGACCTAACCTAACCTTCTTAGTATGTAAATTAAGATAAGCATCTTATTGTTTCTTAATTGCAATTATTACTTAACCTATACCTATATTGATATTACAGTCTTATAAAAATAATAAAACAAAACCAAAATATTTAAATGAATTGTAAAGTAACTCAGGATATTGTCAAATATTGTATACAATCTCTATTGTTTAATAAAACTGAAAAAGAAATTCCTATGAAAACTGGTGTTTAGCGAATCTATAGGAAGAGTTTGTACCTTAAAAACAAAATATAACTTTGCATATACCACATATGTACTTATTAACACTTTCGCGCTCCGTGGAAACTCGCGGTTGACAGGGGGATAGTGGCCCCTCCGTGCGGGTAAGCGCGCGGTGACACCCAAATGTGTATACTCGTTCCAGCTTTCTCACCTTAATTCTCGTGCTACGTCGCTCGTTTTGGTATCATTGTGTTCGCAAATAAATTCTCTACAGGTGTGTATAAATATAATGTCCAAAAGCCTAGCGTGACTCCCAACAGCAAAGCGTAAAGTCAGCAAAAACGCACAAAATCAGTAACATGTGCATTCTCGTTCCATTTTTTTTACCTTAATTCTCGTGCTACGTCACTCGTTTTGGTATCATTGTGTTCACAATTAAATTCCCTACAGATGTATATGAATAAAATGTACAAAAGGCTGGAGTGCCTCCCCGCAGAAAAGCCTAAAGTTACCCGTGAACGAGCACCATTTTGTACATTGCAACCTAATGTTCAACTCGTTCAATTTGATAACATCAAATTTCGTGCTACGTCGCTCGTTTTGGTATCAAATTGTTCACAATAAAAAGGCGAGTATTTTAAAACTATTCCCAGAATAATAGAGCAATAACTGGATTTTTAACAAATATTTTAATTCTGGACGCTCATCATCACAAATTTATTTATATCTTTCCAGTGTTCTGACATAAATATTTGTGTTACATCTTTCATTTTGGTATCAAATTGTTCGCAATAAAAAGGAGCGCATTTTAAAATTAGTCCCAAGATAATAGGACAATAAATAGAATTTTAACAAATATTTTAATATTCGGACCATAGGCCTATTTATAATATTTCAAGTGTTTGGACATCAAGTTTCATGTTATATCTTTGATTTTGGTATCAAATTGTGTGCAATCTAAAGGCGCTTATTTTAAAACCACTACCAGATTGATCTGATAAAATTTAAATTTTTTAAAAATATTTTAATGAGTGACTAAGTACTGCGTCATTGGAACACATTCAGTAGAAAAATGAGTGACTTTATAGTCAGTCTGTGGAACCTCAAAGTGTTAATCAGCCAAATAGTGACTACAAGCAATAAGTCATATATGTACTGTCTTGTGCGAGAGCGGGTTGAGGAGAATAGTGTCACATATCCGAACCCCAAAAAAGCAACAGTTAGCGAAGGGCGGGCGGGGCCTGAACCAGACAGTCACAACAGCAGTGAAACATGTGGAACCGGAGGAACTGGTACAATGCCTGGAGCCACACACTGCCCAGTGAGAAAACCATACAGGCAAAGTTTGAGTTCCTGCACAACCACTCGACCAACCTCCGAGTAACTCGGGTCTGATCCTGCACCGAGTGACGATGAAGTTGCAACCAAAACAAGGATAATGGGGGAATGAAAATGACATCGACTGAGAGTCCCATATGAGGCCCAGCCAGATCCGAACCTAGTATGGAACTAACTGGGACTTCTGCCAGTTTACCAGGAACCGAAATCTGAACCTGGCGAGCTGGAAAGAGCCAGATCTCTGGCCAGCTGACACACAGACTGACTGGAGGCCCACCCACCAGCTATCGAGGTAGCCCAAAACTCAAAAACCTTAGAAGATGTAGCCTGGCCATAATGACCTGTGATAACCTTGTAAAAACATAGGGAGCCAGATTCAAAGCTGCAAGGTAAAACCTGAAGGCAGTAGATGCCCCACTTGATGCCCCACTACAAAACCTAACCAGTTCATAAATCTCTGATGAATTAGGATGTGCCAATAAGCATCTTTGAGGTCCAGGGACACCATCTAAGACCCCACATGTAATACCAGGGGGAACCTGGGCCAGAGTGGTCATGCAGAAGGTCGGGCAGGAAATGAAGTGATTTAAACCCAAAAGATATGTTCCATTAACACCTGATTCTGCCTGACAGTAATGTCTACATGATGTACCCACATAGTCTAAGATCTTCTACATGTGCCATGTTTATGCTCATATTTACACGAGAGATTGGTGCCAATATTATTGTCTTCATGTGCTATTATTATATTGTGTGGGTGGAAGGGATGGAGGTCATGGTTCCAGACAGAGCAGATGACGCCACATCATGATGCTCACCACCACTGTTGCTCTTCTACGTCACTAGAGCAGCCAGTACACTGTCGCCATCACCACCACTAACATTATCATCCTCAATAAACCCGAGGAAGGACTCTTATCACCGTCATCAAATCTCTGACTTTTACTGTCTTCTTAGTAGCATTTTTAACAAGTTCAGTTGTTTCACAGGCCCAGGGGGCCCTGACAGCCGAGTGGACAGCGCTTCGGATTCGTAGTCCTAAGGTTCCGGGTTCGATCCCCGGTGGAGGCGGAAACAAGTGGGCAGAATTTCTTTCACCCCGATGCCCGTGTTACCTAGAAGTAAATAGGTACCTGGGAGTTAGACAGCTGCTATGGGCTGTTTCCTGGGGATGTGTGTATGCGGAAAAATAGTTGTTTGACAGTTGAGAGGCGGGCCAAAAGAGCCAGAGCTCATCCCCTGCAAGCACAACTAGGTGAATACAGCCTTATTCTCTGTTAAAAATTGTCAGAAAGGCCCTTTACAGCTTCCCATAGCTTGAATCCTGGTGCATCTTCCTTACCTGGATCTGACCTGGAGAGGCCCTTGGGAGTTGTTGTTCTCCCCGACTTGTGATAACTTGGTCCAACAGGCTGTTGCTTGGAGCTGCTCGTCGGTATAACCACTACAGCTCGGTTGGTCCAGCACTTCTTGTAAGAACTTATCTTGTTGGTTCTTGAAGAAATCCACCTTTGTTCCAGCATCTCCCTAAGGCCTGGCTGAACCCCAACATCCAGCTCACAAAACTGCTGGGGGCCCTCTTGAGGTTATCTTGATTTCGGGGCTTTAGTGTCCCCGCGGCCCGGTCCTCGACCAGGCTTTCCCCCCTAGGAAGCAGCCCGTGACAGCTGACTAACACCCAGGTACCTATTTACTGCTAGGTAACAGGGGCATAGGGTGAAAGAAACTCTGCCCATTGTTTCTCGCCGGCGCCCGGGATCGAACCAGGGACCACAGGATCACAAATCCAGCGTGCTGTCTGCTCGGCCGACCGGCTCCATACCAGAAAGCCCTACCAGAAAGACCATTTTATTACATTCGAGGCTTGAGTTGTATAAATTTTGTTGTCTTTCCCAATATGACAAATCATGTTAGGTGTTATTTCTACTAATTTTAACAATTGTTGCCTATGATGATAAATCTTGTGCTTTATATACATAAGTATAAGTATGTAATAGTATACGTATGTATATATACTTATATACATAAGTATAAGTATGTAAGCATAAGTAAGTATGTATGTAAAACAAATAGCTTGTTAATCTAGACAACTGGTAATCTACTGATAATCTCTGTATGTCAGTTTTTGTCAGGTATTTGAACTTTTCTTTATAAGATTCTGGTAAAGCATTTCAGCTGTTCTTGTTTTCTTGTTGCGTATTAATTGTCCATTTGGAAATATTTAGCTGTTTATCCTTTTATTAGTTCAGGTGGTGCATTATTGGCATTATTGACTAATCAATAAAAAACTATTTTATGTATGCCAATGTTTTCCTATTATTATATATAATGTTATTACAGTGGTAGTGTTATTATTTAATGGTTTAAAAAACTAAATACAAACGATGTATTTTCTTTGCAGACACTGTATCGAAGCCTCGTTGAACTTTTGGACTACGAGGGGGATGATATGGAGGATGTCTTTATGCAGACTTTTCGTGTTGGTTACCAAGATGTATTTGGCACTAGCCTTACACATGACCTCAAGACAGATGGAGATAACATCCTTGTTAGCCAAAGTAGCAAGCAAGTATGTTTCTAAGTGTGAGCTTTAAAATTATTTGTTCTAGATTTAGGCATCTTGGCTAGGGGGTGCTCTTTTGAGTGTTCTCCCTCAACCCCCCTTCGTTCAGATCAGTAGCTCCCCATAGTCTCCCCTTAATTCTGGTCCTGACCAAATACAATACAGCTAGACTTTATCAGGTGCAATTCAACTGAGTTAACATACATTTCTAAATATGTATACATTGAACAATTATTTATGGTTATAAATCCATTTCTGTGATGGACCCTCAGTAGTTCTCTGAGCTCAGTACTGGTTATTAGGGAGATGCACAAGGCCAGTTATTAGGGAGATGCACCAGGCATCTTGAGGTTAATGTTGGGAGCCAGAACCAGACTCTGGCTCTCTCTACCAAGTGAGAGAAACTTGGGAATCAGAGATCGGCTAAATGCAAAACAAACGCTACAGAAAGGATAGGCATGATTGATTGGAAGAAATTAGGAACTTACAGTAAAGCAGGCAAACATTTGATGCAGGATGTAAGAAACCTAACTGTAATACAGGTATGTCACAGTTACCTAGCAGTAAAATAGGTACCTGGGAGTTAGTCAGCTGTCACGGGCTGCTTCCTGGGGGTGGAGGCCTGGTCGAGGACCGGGCCGCGGGGACACTAAAGTCCCGAAATCATCTCAAGATAACCTCAAGATGTCCAATTACTGCCATGGTCACTTTGGGTTTTGGCCAGCCTGCCATCTCACTCATTTGGTCATTGTTATGAAAGCATGATGACCAAACCACACATTACAAAATGAAGAAACGATGGCATTTCTTCATATTCTGGTCTGTGGTTTGGTCATCATGTTTCTGGACTACAGTCATCATCTGTTTTCTGGACTACATACTCTATTGTTTTTGTTTTTTTTTCAATTCATTACTGGAGATATATCTGGTTCCTGGGGCTGTGGACCCTGCCTTTTGATTTCTTTTGATGGGAAATGAAATGAGGCAGTGGGTTCATTTCAGATGGTCGGTGAATAAGGGGTTTGACTGGCTGGAACCTCGGGTGAATTGAGCTACTACTTGGTGGCAGTCAGGTGCAATGATGTCTGCCTGTTGACTACTTGTTAATGATTTTGAGGATTTAAGTCCCTACTGATCACAACCTGTTTGATCAGGAATCCTTTGAAGGGGCATGTCAAGTTCTCTTTTGAACACTGCAAAAAGTTGGCCAGTTATGCCCTTCATGTGTAGGGAAGTGTGTTGAAAAGTCTTGGGCCTTTGATGTTGATCAAGTTCTCTCTCAAAGTGCCTATCGTACCTATACTCTTCAGAGGGGCTATTTTTCACGTTCTGCCATACCTTCTGGTCTCATGTGGTCTTATTTTTGTGTAGATTTGGAGCCAGTCCTTCTAATATTTTCCAAGTGTAAATTATTATTTATCTCTCCCGTCTGCATTTTAGGGAATACAGATTTAAAAATTTTAGATGGTCCCAATAATTTAGATGTTTCAGTGAGTGGATATTAGCATTAAAGAATCTTTGCACGCTCGCCAGGTCAGTAATTTCTCCAGCTTTGAATGGCACTGTTGGGTGTGCAACAATATTCCACTCTAGAGAGCACTAATGTCTTAAAGTATCATCATTGGTGTAGCATCTCTTGTTTGGAAGGTTCTTGTTATCCAACCTGTCATTACTCTTGTAGTTGTGAAAGCAACTTTGTTGTGTTCTTTAAAAGTAAGGTCTTCTGACATGATTACTCCTAAATCTTGTACATTGCTTTTTTCTTTTAATAGTGTGGTTTGACCATATTTTGTATGTGGCTTCTGTTTTGATGTTTTCAATTTTTCCATAGTGCAGTAATTGGAACTTATCCTCATGAAACATATATTATTTTCTGTGGCCCATTGAAAGACTTGATTAACATCAGATGTGAGGTTTGCTATATTGTCTACTTTCATAAAAATTCTAGTGTTATCTGCAAAGGATGATATAGTAGGTCCAGGACGGACCGAAACGTCGTCGTCCCTTCAATTTCTAGTGTGTGGTCTGGTCAATAAGTATGTTTACTTAATGGTAACTTGCATTGGAACTTCAGGTGTCTATTCTTATTTTACCAGTTGCTTGTTTTGTTGCAGTTAGCTTTTCTGGTGGGGTTTTCTCAGTTTTGAATGGCTCTCTGATTCCCCCATCCCTCCCATGTGACCTTTGTATTGTACAGTGAGTCGGAACAGAAGCTTTTCCTCGTGTCATATAGTGTGAAAAATTCAGGTATTTTGCCTGCTTCTCTGGGCTTCTCATCCTGGTTTTCTGGGTAAAAATTTGATTTTGATCTTTATGGCTCTGGGTTTCTTTTCCCAGGGCCAGTTAGCTGCATGCCCCTTGCACTGTGACTTTGGGCCTTAATCCTTTGCTAGTTGCCTCTGGGCATAGTTTCTGGCCCAGTAGTCTGGTGGCCAGTTCCTAGGGCTCTGGGTCTTTGATTTCCAGGTCCTGCTTTCTAGTGTCCCTTCTGTGGCTCTGGTCACTCCTTTTGTGGCTTTTTATGGTCATTGGGTGGGGGGATGTGTCTGCCAACTGGGATGGGGCTCAAATGCCACTCCTGGAGTGGGGGGGGGCCCCACTCCAGGTGTGGCGTTTTCCTTTCTTTGGGGAACGTTTAACCTTGGTGTTGGAATGCCATCTCGGCCCTGGTCTTGGAATGTTAATTTTTGCAGGCGATGAGTCACAATAACGTGGCTAAAGTATGTTGACCAGACCACACACTAGAAGGTGAAGGGATGACGACGTTTCGGTCTGTCCTGGACCATTCTCAAGTCGGACCATTCACAATCGACTTGAGAATGGTCCAGGACGGACCGAAACGTCGTCGTCCCTTCACCTTCTAGTGTGTGGTCTGGTCAACATGTTAATTTTTATCCGGTGGGCAGTTTGGTGTCTGCCAACTGGCAATCTATTCTCCTTCTCATGCTGTGCATACATTTGCTGTTCTGTCCACGGCTCTCATCTGAGTTTTGGGACTTGGTAATCCAGCTGGTTGTTACCCCCTTGCTCTTTTGGGTGTCCCTCAGCCTTGCCGTGCATGTGTTGCACTTCCGTGTTTAGAGCTCGGCTAATGCTCATTTTGGCCTGGGTCCTTCTCTAATGCCGTGTTTTTCCATGGGTAAGCCATTCTCATTTTTTATTTTCAGAAGACTTGGCCTCCTTTGCTAAGGCCCCCTCCAGGTTTGAGGAGGCCACTCAGAGTAAGCTCAAGGAGCTACTGAGGGACTCTCTCAAAAATCCATCGTTGAATGTAATGAAATGCCCATGTAAATGGTAAGCCTTCAGTAGATTCCAGTCCTTGCTATGTTCTGTTGGGGTATTGGGAGTCCTGTTAGTGATTCATGAGTGAAGTAGGTGGCAGGCTGGCACAACCTGGGTGACGTGGGCCTCATTTTGGTGGCCTTGCTTAGGGATCTTAATTTTCTTTAAGCAATCACTTTTGTTGTGCTTATCTTTTCCGGTTGGATTTCAAAGGTTTTAGGTTGATCTTTGGTCCCCAAACTTCCCTCACCTCATAGAAAACAGCTAAATGTGCTAGTCCTGGCTCCCTGTAGACAGGGATCGGTTTCAGAAATCTGCTGTATTTTCCTATGACTTTGCACTACCACTGCTCAGGGAGCTGATGAGGGCCCACCAGAACAGGACATGTCTTTACATTTAGTACTTGATTTTTATCCTACAGCTCAAATGTCTTGTCATTCTAGAGGGATCTACAAAATTCTCAACACACCAATCCATTCATTCACTTGAACTCCATAACCAAATTTCTTCCTGCCTTGACCTTTAACTTTTTTCTTTTGCACACAATCATACTCATTCATAATTTTGTGCAATACCTGCTCACTCTTAGCAATGAACACCGCAGCATCTTCATACATACATAACAGCAGCAGCAGTTTATCTACATCGCAGTCTGCTTCCACTCCCACACCATCTGTTCTTAACTTGCATCCCTAACTAATCCGTCCATATACTGCATATGTTAATGAACCAGCCAGACGTTACACAACCCTAAACAAATCCACAAGGGCCGTGACGAGGATTCGAACCTACGTCCGAGATCATCCCAGACGCTGCCATTTGTTCATTGACGCATCACTCTCTTGTGATTTGTGTGCTACACAACCCCATCTTCAGCCCTCTCCAAAATTAAAATATTCATATATGCTCTGCTATTTATATAAAAGGATTTTTCTTCTGTTAACCTCTTTCCTTCTTAAAACCATCCCGTTCTTTCCCAATCCATTGCATCTCTTGCTCTCAGTTTGCACCCTTGCATACTCTTTTCTTGGAATACTAATTAAATTAATCCCTCTAATTCCCACAAATACTCCCCACTACTCTTTCCTTTATATAGATACCACATTGGTCTTTTTCTAGTCTTCAGGCAATTCACCCTCCTTCCTCGCCATTACTTAACATTTTGAGCTTGGAGGAATAAGTTACAAAATACAGTAACATTATTAAACATACTCACTAGAAGGTTTTAGGCATTGGTTGTCTTAAGTACACGAGTGGCAGAAGTTGTATTTAAATATAAATACAGTACTATCTGGCTTGGGCCAATAGGCCTACCGCAGATGAAGTGGCCAAGCTCCTGGTATGTGCTGAAACTGTGGACACTCATAATTTACTAAATTATCAGTATGTAGTGTATCTATAGACTAGTTTGTGTTGTCAATTTATTGGCAAGTGTTTGCTCTTTCAAAGCATACCATAGGATTTAGCCCAAAAAATAAATAAAAACTATTGTATTCTACTTGGAGCATAGAAAACTTTACGCCGAGTACCGGTGACTTTACTGAAATTACCAATATAAAATCATGCAATTTCTCTTTATTTGTACAGGAATTTGTTGAGCTGTATGCAGACTTCTTGTTAAACAAAATGGTTGAAAGACAGTTTCGTGCATTTCGAAGAGGTTTTAACATGGTCACTGATGATTCACCATTGGCAAATCTCTTCAGGCCAGAAGAATTGGAACTTCTTGTGTGTGGTTCTCAGGTACTTCAATTCTGTATTGTTAACCTAACACAAATTTGGTTACATTATTATCTCATACATCCAGAATTTTCAAGGCTAGTATGTATTACATTTGTGTGTGTTTTTCAGAGGCAGAATAAGAACAAAATTGATGCACATTTCATCTGTTTTTGGTACTAAGACAGTTTTTAGTAATCAAAAGTAGGGGCATATAAGCCCCATGTAATTTTTATTGGATTATTATTATGTCTGAACTCAATTTCTTCTTAAATTAAGGTAAGATCCTACTGACTATGGTTAGGGTCTAATGCAATCAAGGTAACTGAGCATTTCACTTTGGTGCTGAATAGTGTGTGTGCCAGGTCATACTGGTGCTAAGGAGACACCGAAGAATACTTAATTCAACCTTGAATGCAATCTGAGAGTACATCATAGTGTCTACCATGACTGCCAAACACTCTCACAAGTCAAACTTTGCCTCGGGATGGGCTTGGGGAGAACAACAACTCCCAGAAACCCATCTTCTTGGTGTTATCTTGAGATGATTTCGGGGCTTTAGTGTCCCCGCGGCCCGGTCCTCGACCAGGCCTCCACCCCCAGGAAGCAGCCCGTGACAGCCAACTAACACCCAGGTACCTATTTACTGCTAGGTAATAGGGGCATAAGGATGAAAGAAACATTTTGCCCATTTGTCTCCGCCTCCACCAGGGATTGAACCCGGAACCTCAGGACTACGAATCAAGCAGGTATCTAGCAGGTACCTGCTTTTGGACCAATATCTCTCAAGTCAAGCTTGGCCTTGGGCTGGTCTTGGGGTGTAGAAGAACTCTCAGAACCCCTTTAAGCAGGTATCAAGCAGGTTAATGTTCTAGTTACCTACTAAAGGACTCATTATAGGTCTCTACTCCTGATTGCCACCAACTGGCTGCATCACCACCAGATCAGAGTTCTTCAACCCAACCTCACCACATACTTACCTGACTGTTTCTAGTAGAAAGCTATATGGGCTAGCAGGGACACGAACAATTTAGCTTAGTGGATTTTGTTACCCCTAAGATCTTAATGTTCTGCTTATACTGTGTAATTTTGAAACATTTGTGAAAGCTTTATGTACTTACCTATCATTAACTATGGGGGAGTGAGATCTAGCTCTTTAACCCCCAGCACTGTGCCACTGTTTATAGCCAACATCCCCCCCAGTGCACAGGAAAAAAATAAAAGCTTTCTAATATTGTTAAAATGTGTTCCCTGATTACGGAAAAGCAAACAAAAGTTGCATGCGACTTTGGCCATGGTGAAGCGCGTAAATCATGCTTCATAAAGTTTCTATTTATGCTTCACAAGGCGTGGTTTCATGCTGAGCCTGCATACTTAGTAATGGTCTCACATATGCTGTGTGTATGGACTTGAAAGCCACCTTGTTTAGATTTTTAAATGACTTTCATATGTTTGCTAACATCTCATGTGCTGCTCATGTTATCCTGTTAACATGAGCATCTGGGATTAGTGTTGAGATTATGTCTACCTTAAGGTCTTTTTCTTATTGTTTCTTGTAATTGTCTTCCTCATTATGGTATAGTTAAAAACAGGTCTCCTATCTCCCTTATCATTTTGATTACCTTGCACATATTTGGATTGAATTTCAGCAGCCAATTCCTGAAGTAAAGGTTTTTATGCAGCACCCTACAGTCCTCTTCAGTTCCTACTCTCAATCCCTCTGTGAGGTTATCTTGAGATGATTTCGGGGCTTAGTGTCCCCGCGGCTCGGTCCTCGACCAGGCCCCCTTTTTGTTACACATACCCAGGAAGCAGCTCGTAGCAGCTGTCTGTACCTATTTACCAACTCCCAGGTACCTATTTACTGCTAGGTAACAGGGGCATCAGGGTGAAAAAAACATTTTGCCCATTTCTCTCCGCCTTCACCGGGGATCGAACCCGGAACCTCCGGGCTACGAATCCGAAGCGCTGTCCACTCGGCTGTTAGGCGCCATGTAGGTCTTAGATCCTAGTTTTTTCTCGTATTCTGTGGTTATACCTATTGGGAGCCACTAGTATGCCCCTAAGAAAACCAACATTGGATGTAATGAATTACCTCTTTATGGTTGGGGCTTAGTGGCTCCCTGATCTCCTCCTGGCCTTCCTAGTTTGTTGGTGGGTTATTTTTCAGCTCCAGATTGAGCTTTGTTGTCATGTGGCATTAGAGCTGTCAGTGGTTGCTGCCACCTCGCAGTGATTGGCTGTAACTAATGGGTTCGACCTAATTGCTGTGTGGATAGTTTGTTACTGCTTTGTTTCTTTTCTGTGAACCTTGTACGTGTCTTGTTATGCATTGCTAACTACCTACGCTCAATTGTATGGGGCTCACTGCATTTGTTTTATCCAAACATTTTTTATTACAAATTAAAATTTATATATTTAGGGTTTTTATTCAGCAGAAATCTCAGAAACCCAAATTTTTATAGAGTTGAGAAGTCAAAAACTTGAAAATGAATTCATTATTTTACTAGGAGATTAGAGTTAGCGGAATCCACATTACCAAGCTCTTTCAATAATGTCTGATTGTGTTTCCTTGGTGAAGGATACTCATACTCACCTATGCACAAAAAATAAAAAAATTAAAAAAGATATTTTTCATTATAAAATTATTAATTTGTATGCAAAATATAAGGAAAACACACAAATAAGTGAATATTTATTGTTTCACTGGGTGGAGGCTGTAATGCTGCATCTGGTGCTTGTGAACACTTGCTGTTCATCTTTACTGAATTCCTGATTTATTCTCTGATGTTTCAGTGATTATTTCATCACTTGTTGTTCTTTATTTACATCCACAGAACGTTTTTATATCCATATTTGCATCATATATGTTAAACCTAGACAATAATTGTTTAAATCATATGATGATGACCGCATTCTCCTAGTAACATTTATGATAACTGTATTTGTACCAAGACATGGCAGCAGGATATTTACATGGGTCAAGGTAAACTCCAATGCAACATCTACATAGACCTATTATATCCATATTTGCATCATACATGTAAAATCCAGACAATAAGTTTTAAAATCTTTGTATGATGATAACCGCATTACCCTGTGAATAAACGATTGGTGATAACTGCTGTCTAAGGGTTAATTGTGTATCCCACTTGGGCTAGGCCGTAGAGTGCCCGGTCTCGCTTCATGCAAGCTGCTGTTCAATCCCCGACCGTCCAAGTGGTTGGGCACCATTCCCTTTTTCCGTCCTATCGCAAATCCGTATCCTGATCTCTTCCAAGTGCTATATAGTCGTAATGGCTTGGTGCTTTCCATGATAATTCCCATCCCTTTCAGAATTCATGTACTATACACAAGGTTTTAAGATTTAATATTTTCTTAGTTTCTGAATGAGATGACTAACAATTATAAAACACACTGTAGGTAGAAGTCTAAAATATTTGTACAAATAAAGTATCCTAATGCTGGTATACAGATGTAATTGCCTAAGTGTAATTACCTAAGTGTAGTTACAGGATGAGAGCTACGCTCGTGGTGTCCCGTCTTCCCAGCACTCTTTGTCATATAACGCTTTGAAACTACTGACGGTCTTGGCCTCCACCACCTTCTCCCCTAACTTGTTCCAACCGTCTACCACTCTGTTTGCGAAAGTGAATTTTCTTATATTTCTTCGGCATCTGTGTTTAGCTAGTTTAAATCTATGACCTCTTGTTCTTAAAGTTCCAGGTCTCAGGAAATCTTCCCTATCGATTTTATCAATTCCTGTTACTATTTTGTATGTAGTGATCATATCACCTTTTTTCTTCTGTCGTCTAGTTTTGGCATATTTAATGCCTCTAACCTCTCCTCGTAGCTCTTGCCCTTCAGTTCTGGGAGCCACTTAGTAGCATGTCTTTGCACCTTTTCCAGTTTGTTGATGTGCTTCTTAAGATATGGGCACCGCACAACTGCTGCATATTCTAGCTTTGGCCTAACAAAAGTCGTGAACAATTTCTTTAGTATATCGCCATCCATGTATTTAAAAGCAATTCTGAAGTTAGAAAGCGTGGCATAGGCTCCTCGCACAATATTCTTTATGTGGTCCTCAGGTGATAGTTTTCTATCTAGAACCACCCCTAGATCTCTTTCTTTATCAGAATTCTTTAAAGATTTCTCACATAATATATAGGTTGTGTGGGGTCTATGTTCTCCTATTCCACATTCCATAACATGGCACTTATTAACATTAAATTCCATTTGCCAAGTGGCGCTCCATGTACTTATTTTGTCCAGGTCTTCTTGAAGGGCATGACAGTCATCTAAGTTTCTTATCCTTCCTATTATCTTAGCATCATCAGCAAACATGTTCATATAATTCTGTATACCAACTGGTAGATCATTTATGTAGACAATAAACATCACTGGTGCAAGAACTGAACCCTGTGGTACTCCACTTGTGACATTTCTCCAGTCCGATACATTGCCTCTGATCACAGCCCTCATTTTTCTATCAGTCAGAAAATTTTTCATCCATGTTAGAAGCGTACCTGTCACTCCTCCAATATTTTCCAATTTCCAGAACAACCTCTTATGTGGAACCCTGTCGAAAGCCTTTTTTAGGTCCAGATAGATGCAGTCAACCCAACCATCTCTTTCCTGTAATATCTCTGTTGCTCAATCATAGAAACTGAGTAAATTCGATACACAGGATCTTCCAGATCGAAAACCATACTGTCTGTCTGATATTATATCATTTCTCTCCAGGTGTTCTACCCATTTAGTTTTAATTATTTTTTCCAATATTTTGACTATTACACTTGTCAATGATACCGGTTTATAATTAAGGGGGTCTTCCCTGCTTCCACTTTTGTAGATTGGAACTATGTTAGCCTTTTTCCACACATCAGCTACAACTCCTGTATACAGGGATGCCTGAAAAATCAGTTGAAGAGGAATGCTGAGCTCAGGTGCACATGCTCTCAGAACCCATGGTGAAACTCCATCTGGACCAACTGCTTTGTTCTTATTTAGCTCCTTGAGCATTTTTTCCACTTCGTCTCTAGACACCTTTATGTGCTCTATGTTGTTCTCTGGAATTCTTATTGTATCTGGTTCCCTGAAGATTTCATTTTGTACAAACACACTTTGGAACTTTTCGTTTAATGTTTCACACATTTCCTTTTCATTTTCCGTGAATCTATTTCCCATTTTCAACCTCTGAATATTATCCTTTACCTGCAATTTGTTGTTTATGAATTTATAGAATAGACCTGGTTCTGTTTTACATTTGTCTGCAATCCCTTTTTCAAAATTTCTTTCTGCCTCTCTCCTCACTGCCGTGTAGTTGTTTCTCGCATCTTTGTATCGCTGGTATGTTTGGGGGTTCGGCCTCTTCCTGTATTGATTCCATTTTTGTGTCTTTTGGTCTCTGGCCCTCTTGCACTTTCTATTGAACCAGTCCTGTTTCCTAGTTCTGCTTCTCTGTTTGGGTATAAATTTGTTTGTGCCTTTTATCATATATTTCACAAAACCTGACATACATCTCATTCACTTCCTTGCCTAGCAACAAGTCTGTCCAATTATACTCTCTAAAAATTTTTCTAAGGTTGCCGTAATGTCCTCTCCTAAAGTCAGGTTTTTCATTTGCATCGACCGTCATATTTTCTTCCAGATTATAACGCATTGCATACTTTATTCCCAAAAAGACATGGTCACTTTTACCCAAGGGAGGAAGGTACTGAATGTCAAATATTTCTTCCTCCTTCCTGGTAAATATCAAATCTAGCATGGAGGGGACGTCCCCTTCCCTCATCCTCGTAGCTTGTTTAACATGTTGATACAAGAATGTTTCCAGGATGAGGTCTACAAATTTACAGGTCCAGAAATCTTCTGATTTAGCTTCACATGCTTCCCAGTCTATGGATTTCAAGTTGAAGTCGCCGACTATCAACAGTCGTGAACTATCGTTATCCGCTCTCGCTATGATCTCTCTCATTATTGTTATAAGACCTTCTCGTTTACTATCTAGCTCCTCCTTTGACTATGTGCTGCTTAGCGGTGGACTATATGCATTTATGATCATTAGTTTATCATCCTCATGGCAGATCTCTAGTGCTATTATGTCAACTTCTTGTGGATTGGCAGTCACTATTTCGTTCACCTTTAGGTGTTCTTTCACCAGCACAGCAACGCCACCGCCTTTCCTGATTTTTCTGTCCCGTCTCCAAATTGAGTAGCCCCTTGGGAATATGACCTCATTTAAAATAGCATCTTCAAGTTTTGTCTCCGTGAGTGCAACAATGTCTGGTGTCTGCAGCTGTATTATATCACTTAACTCCAGTATCTTTGATCTTACTCCATCTATGTTGGTGTATGCAATCTTGAGGAACTTGTTCCCCCTCTTCTTATTTTTCACTCCCCCTTTCTCTAGTGATTTTGTTGGTTTGCCTTTATGTACCACTTTACTGGCCTGCCTACCCCTATCACTTTGTAGAAAAAAAATCGATTTCTTCTTCATTCCTGCTCTCATTTAAACGTTTTGCCTCGGCGAGGTTCAGTTTCAGCTTCTCTCTATCTTCTTTTGAAAGATCTCGTCTTAACGACCACACTTTCCCATCCTCATCACTTTGTAATTTTCTAGCATTCCTTAGTACTTCTTCCATCTGTTTGGTACCATTTAGGGTGATCCTCAAAGGTCGATCTTTCCCTTTTACATATCTGCCTATTCTCCTGTAGTCGCAGACATTCTCTCTGGTTGTAAGACCTTCCACGAGGCCAACAATTTTATCTACTACTTTTGCTTCTTCTACAGCTCTTTCTGACCTAGATGTTATCTCCTTTTCCTTGCAGCCAAAAATGATCTCAAGATCTCAAAATGATCTCAAAATGAAATCAACTCAAGATAACCTCAAGATAGATACCATTTCTTTCCTCATTTCTAGCCTAATGTTTGTTTTATCTTGGTTGCTGCAGTGTTTGACTTCCTTTACTGCTTCTTCTATTTTTTCCTTCTTCTTGGCCACTTGTGCATAAGTGAGTTGCATATCTTTCTTGCACTGTTCTATTCCCTGTGTAACTTCCTCCATCTGTGCTGACAAAAGCTGTTTCTCCCTCATGTTGAAATTCCTTACCTAACCTATTGTAGTCATTTATGTTTAAATTTACTTTAACTTCTTCCAAAGCTATTTTTAAGAGTCTATTTTCTTCTTCCATGGCTTTGCAATTTGTTTCCAATTGATTCTTATCCTTGCGCAAGTCTTTCACTACACCCTCAAGACATACAACTTTGCTATTTAAATGGTCATTACTTTCTTTCAATTTACTAATTATTTCTACATGAGAGGTCACAATAGTATCTAATTTTACCACCTTGTTGTATAGACTGGTTATCTCAATGCTTTCTTGATGTGAAAGATGTGAAAATATTTGTGTGTGTGTGTTTAGTGCAATTCTTCCCTGCTTTCTATCCCATGATAATTAAAAAGGATAAAATGATTAATTACAACACCAAGATAACTTTATATTAATGTATATACTATATATATAATTCATACTGTTACAGCACTACGATTTCTTGGAGCTAATGAAGTCTGCCGAGTACGACGGTGGTTACACGAGTGAAACCGCTATCGTTCAAGCATTCTGGGAGCTGGTGCATGATATGAGTACCGAAGATAAGAAGCGATTACTTCAGTTCACCACAGGATCAGCCAGGGTTCCTGTAGGAGGCCTGGCGAGACTGAAACTGATAATAGCCAGACATGGCCCAGACTGTGACAGGTAAGGCAGCTTGACTTGTAATAAATCTAATGTACTCACCTAATTATGCCTGCGGGGTTGAGCTCTGGCTCTTTGGTCCCGCCTCTCAACCGTCAATCAACAGGTGTACAGGTTCCTGAGTGGTATGTACTCAGTTTTGTGAGAGGTTCTCATGTTCGGCCACACTACAGTACAGTATATTTAAAATTCTATTGGATAAAAATTTAATACATTCGAAAATCATGATTTTTTTTTTTTTTTTTGTTTTGCAAAAATTTAATCAAAATGTAGTCTTCATGTAAAAAAATTGTTTATACAGTATGCTTTGAAATACAGTGGAATCCCGGTCTATGAATTTAATCCCTTCCAAGAGATGGCTCGTTCACAGAAAATACGTACACCGAAACAAATTTTCACATAAGAAATGATTTAAATTGAATTAGTCCGTTCTACACCCGCAAAAATTGTAACTTAAAAATACATTTTATACAGAATATTACTCAAATTTTTCATACACAAAGCAATCAGATATAGATATAAAAAATATATGAAATAAGTGAACATTTAACTGCACTTTATCTTGACTGAGGACTCTTGCTGGTGTATGGGAGATGGTGAGAAGGCAGAGAGGAGGAGCGGTGTTGGCGTATTGGGAGGGTGAGGAGGAGGAGGCGAGTGTTTAGAAAGACCATCACCTTCCATTATAACATCAGACTGTCCCCTGCTCACCTTAAATGCTTTCATATCTGCATCACTGGTTCCAGATTTTCCTTTCGCATATTTCACTGTTATGTGACAGCCAGTCATTTACAGTCACAACAATTCAATCAAGCATTCACAGTCAAGACCAGTCACAGGCAGTCTTAACCAAAGGCGCATATACGGTCAGTCAGGCATTTACAGTCAATCAGGCTTTCACAATCGCAACAGTCAGTTAGTAAACGATAAGAGTTTAATGTCAGGCGCTCATTCTTAAAAAGACCTGGATTGCCTCTGCTCACCCAGCAGGAATTATATACCTGAATTGCCTTTGCTCACCCATCAAAAATTATAGACCATGGAGTGATTGCCCATAAAATGAGATCAGTAGGAATAACAGGTAAAGTGGGGGTTTGATTTTATACTTTGTCAAACAGAATGCAGAGAGTGACAATCAATCGAGTAAAATCAAGCCCAAGTGCAGTGAAAAGCTCTGTACCTCAGGGCACAGTCCTTCCACCACTGTCATTTTCATTCTTATCTCTGATATAGACAAAAAATACTAGTCGCAGCTTCGTGTCATCCTTTGCAGATGATACAAAAATCAGCATGAAAATTGCCATTGTGGAAGACACTGAAAAACTATAGGCAATTATAAATAAAGTATTTGATTGGGCAGTTGAAAAAACATAGTTTAACAATGATAAGTTCCAGGTACTGAGGTACGGTGGAAATGAGGAACTTAAATGAAACACAGGGTACAAGACACCATCAGACCTACGCGTAGAAGGAATGCAACATGTAAAAGATCTGGGAATTATGATGTTTGACGACCTGACATTTAGTGAGCATAACCGATCAAATATAGCAGCGGCTAGGATAATGATAGGATGGATTATTAGAACGTTCAAATCCAGAGACCCCACAGCAATGCTAATACTTTAAATCACTGGTGCTGTCCCGTCTTGAGTACTGTATCTGTGAATTAGAAGGAATACAGAGAATATATACGTCACGCATAGAAACGATGAAACATCTGAATTATTGTGACTTTCAAAGCTCTCAAAATGTACTCTCTGAAAAGGAGATGAGAAAGGTATCAAATAATATATACATGGAAGATACTGGAGGGCCAGGTCCCAAATTTGCTTAGTTGAATAACAACGGAGGAAAAGATATTGAAAGAAATGCAGAATAGAACCAATAAGGAGTCAGGTACCATAAGCACAATCATTGAGCACTGTCTGAATATCAGGGGTCCACAGCTGTTCAGCACCCACCCAGCAAGCATTAGAAATATTGCCAGAACAAAAATGGATGTACTCAAGAGGCACTTGGACAGGTTCTTGCCTGAAGTGCCGGCCTACCAGGCTGTAATGAATATGTGGGCCTGTGGACTTCTCCGAGCAACAGCCTGTTGGACCAAGTTATCACAAGTCGAGCCTGTCCTCAGGCCGGGCTTGGGGAGTAGAAGAACTCCCGAGACCCTCTCCAAGTAAGTCCAGGTAAGGATTGAAAGTTATTGGTGGATTGGGTTTAATGGAAAGCATATGCAGAATAACCTAACTAGTTACACTGCCTGTCCTAAGACTTATCCTACTTCCCTACCTTAGACCCGACAACCCCATTCACTTACCTACAAATAAATAGATGGTTGTCAAATGGAACAGTTAAACAGTGTAGCATTGAGTTCTCTGATTAATGATTGACACACAGTTGTGTAACTGTTAGATGCTGTACTGTGAGTATTGTTAACATGCTTAAAGATTCTTCAGCTTTCAAGTTCCTGAGAACAGGAGCCATTGAACTACTGTAGTCATGGAAGAGAATGAGAAAGAACTTTGTGGTGGAGAGCTACCTCGGATGTGAGAACAATATTCCAGGAAAGTTAAGAATAGAGCGAGATTAATAAAGAGATAATGTTAGTGTCAAAGTATTCTGACAGTATACAGTAGTCTAAAATCTATATATGAGCTGAAGTGAGAGACAGGAGAGTTTAGATTTGTAGATCATGCTAGCCACTGTTAGAAATGTACGTGTGTATGGGGAGGAGGTCGGCCGAGCGGACAGCACGCTGGACTTGTGATCCTGTGGTCCTGGGTTCGATCCCAGGCGCCGGCGAGAAACAATGAGCAGAGTTTCTTTCACCCTATGCCCCTGTTACCTAGCAGTAAAATAGGTACCTGGGTGTTAGTCAGCTGTCACGGGCTGCTTCCTGGGGGTGGAGGCCTGGTCGAGGACCGGGCCGCGGGGACACTAAAGCCCCGAAATCATCTCAAGATAACCTCAAGAAGATGGAACATTTACTAGTATTGTACGGAAATTTTGTTTTGGTATGTGTTATGGCATGTACTGCATAACAGGGAAATGCAGTGCGGGATAATTATGCTAAATAATTTCTACATATTTCCAGAGCATCCACAGATTTGAGGAAGGAATGTATGAAGATATGTGAGTAAAAGAGCATAGGTTATTCTTCTTTTTCTTTCCCAACAGGCTACCAACTGCACACACATGCTTTAATGTCCTCCTCCTGCCTGAATATTCCAGTAAGGAGAAGCTGAAGGATCGTCTCTATAAAGCTATTAAATACTCTCAGGGCTTTGGGATGCTCTGAACAGCTGAAAATGGTGAGTTAACTATTCTGTTTTCAATTTAACACTTTAAATGTTTTTTTTGTATACTTTATCTATATTACCTTTAAATTCAGACTGGCTGTAAACAAGGAGACGCTGCGCGACACTATTGCAACGAGAACAGAAGTGACTGTTTAATAGTGTTTCTAACAGGCCAGCTCATCCTCATGATTAGTACTTGTTGTAACGATGAGAACCATCGTACACATGTTGACGTAAAAGGCAATTAGAAAGTAGAAATCGATATTCTTGAATTTGGATAAACTGGAAAAGTTTTTGTACTAATGTTGCAAAGAAAACTTAACCTAACCTAACCTTCCTAGGCCTAATACATGTTATCTGAGGCCTAATATAGCACATACATGTGCTATATTAGGCCTAGGAATATTTAAGTTTGGATTTTTGCTTTATTTTTTCAGACTTTTGAAGTGAATAGTACCAAATTCTGCTATTTAATTGTCCATTATATTTATGTATGCACGATGGTCAACATAGCAAATCTAAACATGACAATTGGTTGAACAGGCAGTGATAAGGTTTTTTTAATGACCACTTGGGAGTGAGGATTACATTAGCAAACATACATAATGGGTGAAACTAAAGACTGGTAATGAGTTGAAGGATAGAAATATGTATAAACATGAACAGGAATTTTTTTTTTCTTTTCTGGGAGGGCTCCTGTGGCAGTTTCCTATGGCTAATTTACAGTTGACATGTAGCTCTTGCGAGTCATTTACAAACTGAACAGCAGTGCTGTGAGCTCATGCTGCATGCACCAGCCTTGGTGGCTCACTCAGTACTGAGGCTCTTACTCCTGGGAATGTTGCCCACAAATTTTTTTAAATGGTGTCTGTTTAGAAGAGCCCTGAGGAATCTAATCTGAACCCCGTGTAGCCCCGGGACTTTTAAATTTTGCGTGGTACTCCCAAACAGCATATGATGTCGTGTGCAATTTATCGACAATTACTCGAGACATCTTATGATGTTTTGCACAGTTTAAGGGTTAAAAGGACAGGCTGTCTAATGAGCATTGGATACATCAAAGTAACATAACTTGGTATGGTTTGCTTTGGTGAGAACCCGATTATTGTCCTGTTGGATTGGTAGATGTTTGAAAGTCGTCAGATGCCTGATTTTAAATAAAGGCTATAATTATTTAGTGCAATAGCTCAGGTAAACAATTGAAACTGAGGAGTTCCAATGCCGAAATATTACTAGATAATATGCATAATAATGACTCGGGGGCAACCCGAAAAATGTATGAAATTTGGGTACAGTTCTAAATTTAGAACAATTGTTTCATTAACAATATATCGTACTTTTGAGGTTGCAGTATTGATAGGCAAGAGAAGATTAGATAAAATTCTTGGATAACTTGTCAATAGCATTAATATTTTGGGAAGATATATTGTTGGTAACAAATTGTGTTAAAAATGAACAGATAGATGAAAGGGCATTACTAAACCAAAAAATTTTTGCTTTTCAGTTTCAAGCTCACTTTGCCCAAGGACGTATTAGGTTTAATGTCTTCTTTTTAGTAAGATTTTCATTTTTTTACCCCAAGTATTTGACTTCCTGTTGGTGACTGTTAGGATTTTTACTAATCTTGAAATTAATATATAACACTTTTCTTTTACAGAGCGGGGGGATAAGATATACAAAATTGAAGAAAGAATTTGCCATTTTAAGGTCAACATTATTCAAGGTATAAATTGCCTTGATGAAATTGCATTGATCAAATTTTAGAAATGGAATAATTATATAATGGACAAAAAAATTGTTGAATAAAAAGATTATATGAATTTTGTTAATATTTCTTGTGCTTTAAAATGGTTCCATTTGTGCTTGTGGCCTTGAAGAAAATAGGATGTGATTATGTCAGGTCAGTAATGACTTCAGTTAGGCTGGGTCAGCATTGTTTCATAGTTTGTTGGTTCCACATCTTGCTACAGTTCAAAACCAATTGTTTTTCCCTAAATGCAGCTAACTGTAGTAACATTTTCTTTCAGCCCAAATGACTGCTTCTTGTTTAATCTTATGCTAGTAATCTCAAGAGGCTTGTGTATTGCAAGTCCTAAATTGTGGACAGATGTAGACATTTTTAGAGATACAGTATTTAAATTGTGAAAAATAATTTATTGAAGCTTCTTTGCAGTTAACAATTATTGACAAATGCTCACAACTGTCCATTGGTCCCGTTCTCATTAAAGTAAGTTCTGCAAGACCAAATTCTGTAGCCAGCCCCACACTTCATGAATTAACACTAGCCGTTTCTTCTTTTTCTCATCACTATGCATGTATATAGCCCAAGACTTCACTAGTGAGTTGGCTCATCATCCTTCTTCACGTACTGTTAGTGAATTCTGTGCTGTGCAACAGTTGAATCAAATGTTATCATGTATTTTTAGTATTTTTGTATAATTGGTTTATAAATTTCAAGAGCCATCACCTGCTTATGGTAAATTACTGAGTATCAGTGATGAGAGATCCACAGAGGCATATATACCATGCAGCATTTTGTTTTGCTGTCTAAGGTTTATACATTTTGTATGTGATATTTCATTGATAAGTGTAAATAAAGAATATTAAAATTACCGTCTGTGCTAAACAGTTCCTTGTAAACACTATAAAACTAACCGTCACCGAAACCCGAGACTTTGAGGAGGCCTATGGCTTTGGACACGAGTTTTCAAGAGGGGACAAAAGAGGACTTTTTTCTGCACTAAAATAAAATTATGTACGATATGCGACTTTGATAGTTGGGGTGTAATGAAAGATACATCATCACAGTTCCAGTCGAATTTTCTGGACATGACACTTGTGTCCTCACACACAGAAAGTAGAAAATATAAGTGGGATAAATTTGAGGTAAGAAACAAGATGCAAATTTTCTGGGTGGGTGGGGGGGGGAGGGAACCACTTCCCAGTGGCTCCCTGATGCTATACAAGTATAGCATCATGTGTACAGATGCTATACATATACAGTATAGACATGTTTCATTGAATATGACTGCATATGCTGTGTTGATTATGTTCTTGTTTAGGTCTTCTATCCCTCTGACTAGTGCTCGTGCATCTTGGTTCAAGTTAATAAACCAAGATGCAATAAGAGCACTTGTGATATGTCCTCAAAATTAACTTGTGTCATAATAATTTTTAGAATGTATTATACTTATTATAATTTACACAACATTTTGAACCTACAAGGTTCATTCTCAAGTGAGGAGAAATGAAGGGGACATGTGATTCATAATACTGGGAGGTCAGGTGCATACAAAATTAAGTCAAGAGGAAAATGAATAACGAAGTCACGGTTGGAGTATTTGTTCCAATCACTGGAATAAGTCTATTCAATTTAAATTCAAGTTTTTATATTAGTGTCCCTGCAGGCTGACCTCATAGCTGCGTAACGAGTTACTGGTGATAACAATAACACTCGCGGATAATGCAGGGATAGAGAGATTTAAGCACCTGTCCGACCCACAAAGAAGAAGAATAGTAGTAAGGAGGGTCCACAAAGTGGATATGCAGCAGGTGCATGTCCTCCAATTTTTTTTTTTTTTTTTTTTGGGGGGGGGGGGAGATTTTATTTTTGTTTTTGTTTTTTCTCCTTTGTTTCTTATCTGATTTTGTTGTGGCTTCTATATCTTTGAGAATGCATACACGTCACTAAGTATGTGAAGTTGTAACCAAATTGGTCAACATATAATTCAGCCAGGGAGCCGGTCGGCCAAGCGGACAGCACGCGGGACTTGTGATCCTGTGGTCCTGGGTTCGATCCCAGGCACCGGCGAGAAACAATGGGCAGAGTTTCTTTCACCCTATGCCCCTGTTACCTAGCAGTAAAATAGGTACCTGGGTGTTAGTCAGCTGTCACGGGCTGCTTCCTGGGGGTGGAGGCCTGGTCGAGGACCGGGCCGCGGGGACACTAAAAGCCCCGAAATCATCTCAAGATAACCTCAAGATAGCCACAGGTGGCAGAACTTGGGACTTAATTTTTTTGGTCCGATTTTTTTCACCCCATTAGCCTTAGCCCTATACTGGTATTTTGTTTGTTAGGAAGGGGGTATTTTTTCTTGACTTTATTTCAACACATAACTTGAACTTGAACTTTAATTTTCTCTCTAACTAGATTTTCAGCTTCTCACCATTTTCACACATTATGTGCAAAGTTGTTTGTTCTTCAATATTTACTTTTGTTTTTTCTGGGGGAAGCCCCTACAGTTCCCCAGAGCTATCTAGGCTAATTGGATATGTATAACTTTCTGGTATCAGTCAAGGTGCATGGAGTTCTTGCCCACCGGGGACCATGAGCCAGAACCTGGCCCCCTCAGAGAGGCATGAGGAGCATTGATCTATAGAACCCCCTCTGTGGTTGGGAGCATTCTGTGTCTACCATCGACCAGGACAGGCACCTAGAAAGGTAGGCACCCCAAAACAAACCCCTATTCTGGTAAACTATTGCTACCGAAAGCCGAACGAGTGGACAGAACTCCCCAAACAAAAATAGCAAACTAGCATGACGTCATCACGTCGCCGTGCCACCGTCTGCGCAACCCCCCCCTTCCTGGGAGGGGGAAGGGGAAGCCCCAGACCCTTCGTGCCGGCTATCCAACTGGCAGTTCTTGGCTGATGGGTTTACTGGCCAGTCGGGTGCCTCTGGCTCCACTTTTGTTTCAGTTCTGTGCCTTGTGATGTGGTATGTCTCTACAGGTGGTGTGTGAGCCAGGAGTGATATTCCACGGTACTCGGGCTGCATGCGCCTAGGGTTTCCTTCCCTAGGTGCCCTGTGAGTACTACCCTTGGGGACTTTGGGCCTCCTTCCACAGTCACCTTGGGATCTACCTCCGCTGTGTCTTTTACTGCTCGGTACTGGGCTGCCCTTGGGGTCAGCTGGTTTTTTTTTTGCCCTAGTTTGTCTCTGGGTAGGAGGTTGTTTTAGTCACTGGTAGGGGCACGGAGTACTGCACAGCTAGTCTCCTACAATTATAGCGGTCGGCTTTGTTCCACCTGGGTACGCTGTCCTCTTGTGGAGTTTTCTTTTGTTTTTGTTTTCTGCCTGGTGGGAGGGTCTCCCTGTTCTTCTCTCTGCTTGGTGGAGTCTCCCGTTTGGCCCCCATGAGTGTACACGTCCCGGGGGTTCAGCTTTTAGCAGTTTGTTCGGTAGACTTGGGCGCCAGTTCGCAGTACCCTGCCTGGGCTTCCCTTAGCGTGTACACAAGGCTAAAGGCCCTGGAAATCCCCATGGGGGCTCTGCGGTTCGATGGAGGTGACCTTGAGTCCCCCTCTCGCTTCCTGCGAGTTTGATGGTTGCTCTGTCTTCTTGTTTCAGGGTGACACTCGCCGGTTTTGCCTCCGCCTTGCTGCCTGTTGGGGTCGATGGTTCTTTGACCCGGAGTCGTGTGACGTTGGTTGTCTGTATTCCAGTTTTCCCGCGCCACTCATTCTGTTGTGCGGGTACATGCAGCAGTCACGTTGCAGGCTGGGTTAGATTGCTGCAACGCCCTTGGTTGATTGCGGCCCCGGATGCCCCAAAACTGCCCCGTTTTTGTGATGGTGACCCAGACTTGGGGGTGGGGGTCGCTTCGGCTCTAGTTCCCTCTGCCCCTCCTGGTCCTTCCCCTTCGGTTGTGCATTTGGGTCCTCCCCCTTGCTTCCAGCTCCGACACGTCTGAGGTTTCAGGGTCGGGGCAGGGTTTCGTTGGTGTTTGAGACTCAGTCGATCTCAGGGTTTTTTCTTCTTCTGGGGTGACAGCGAAGGCCTTCGAGCCTGTTCCTCCAGCCGTGCATAAGGGTCTGACCAGTCTACTCCCTTCCTTAGTGTTTTACGGCTGCCCCAGCTTTTTCTTGTGAGGTCGGGGCTTGTGGGGGACGGCTTGGCCCCGGGTCAGGTCGGGGTGGTTCCCGGGGTTGGGGAGGGGTTGCCCGGGGGGCCTTAGCCCCATTTGGCCCCGCTTGGGGTTTTTGTCCCCTAGGAGTGGGGCTGGTAGTTCCTCTGAGGGGGGGTTTATTCCTTCCCCTCTGCATTCTTGTTATTTTCGGGTCTACCCTTCCCCGGGTTCGGTTCCGTGTCCTTCGGATCCGTCGGTTCCGTCGTTCCTGGAGGTGCTTTCGCCCCTTTCCCTACTTTGTGCCTCCGTAAGATTCTCGAGAGTTCGCGACACTCTTTGATTCTTCCGATATTACTGTATTGGAACGTCTGCTGACTTCTGGTGTGGTTCCCTCTAGTCCCTTCTCGGACTCCTTGGTCCTCTTCCGTTTTGTTTTCTTTTGATTCTCTTTTGCCTTCTTTTGTATTCCCTTTGTCTCTCCTTCCTGTCTCGGAGACAGGAAGGTCGGGGTGTTCCTCTCATTCGTTACGTCCTCTTGCTGGTGTGTGTACATTATGTGTACATACGACTGGTGTACGAACCGTGCCACCGGAGGGCAGGTGGTGCAGTTCGAACCTTGGGTGCAGGGTCCGGGGTGATCGTTTTGTTTTTGGGCAGTGTACATGTTTTGGTATTCCGCATCCTGTCTCACGATTTTCTATGCCTATTCGTTCGTCTTCTTTCTCCAGTCATTGCCCCTTGATGTGGGGAGTGTTCTGGATTTCTATGTGGGACCTTCACCTCGATTCTTTTCCCTGTTTCTGGGGGTGGGATGGCTCCGGGTGGCGCCACCTCCGCCTCTGTCCTCCGTACTCCCCTGGCGATGCTCCTGGTTTATTCCTCGGCTCGACTGTGTTGTGCCACAGTCGTGTCTCCGCTCTTCAGGTGAGATTGTGCAGTGTGGCGACACTGTCGGCCAGGTGCTGGTTCTTGATTTTGGTGGGATGTGGGTGTTGTGTGTTTTGCTTGGCCACTTTGCGTGAGTCTTGCCGTGGCCTTTCTTGGTCAGTGTACTGTGGGATGCAGCCTCGGTCTTCGGTGCTTTTTGTTTAGTCTTTCAGCGCCTGAATCTTTTCTCGGTTTTCTTTGTGCTCTCTTCTCCCTGCCAGTTTTTGTCCTCGTGTGGTTGTCCTCCCCTAGTTCTGCTTGTTGGAGTTGAGCTCTGGCTCCTTGGTCCCGCTTCTCAGCTTTCGTTTGCCTGGTGTACTGATTCCTGGGCCGTTTGGACTCTTTCTTCTCTCCCTTTGGTGCTGTGTCTGGTGTCTGCTTTCGCCACGCCTCTGGCTACCTTTTACCTGCTCTGACTCTCACAGGGTTCTTTCTACTATCTCTGTGGCTCCTTGAGTACTCAGTTTCCACCTGTGTCCCCTTCTTTGTGTACTGCCCGTGTTCACCAGTTTATCATTCTCTACCCTTTCATTCCTCTGAGAATTTTGTTAGTTGTGTTCTTGTCTCCCTTTCCTCTTCTGTCTTTGTGTCGTGCGTTGCATTCCCGCAGCCTGTCCTCGTAACTTGTGCCTCTTCGCTCTGGGGCTGGCCTCGGGGCTTGCCTCTGCATTTTTACAAACAGGGTACGGGCTCCATGCTGGGGCCGGATACTCTGGGTTTGGTCTTTTGTATGTGGTATATGTAGTGCTTGTACTGCCTGCGGATGGGTGTTGCTTCCGTTCGCCCACTCCTGCCCCTATGATTCCTTTTCGTTGGGATGGGTGGAGCTGGGTTCA